TATGTTATTTAAGTTCTGAATTAATGCTGAATAATGCTGAATTAAGGTTAATTTTAGGTTAATTTATGGTTGAATTTAAGTTCTGAATGGCTATGTCTGATTAAAATTAATCAGCGTCTATCAGCGTCTGAATTATTGCTAAATTGAGACTAATTTTAAGCTAATTTATGGTTGAATTTAAGTTTTGAATTAATGCTAAATGGTCATATCTAATTGAAGTCGATCAGCATCTATTAGCACCTATTTTTGCTGATTGAAAAATATGGCAAATCAGTCATAAATAGTATCAAAATCAGCCTAAAATTAGCTAACTGATTTTTAGCCGATTTGGATTATTTTAACCAGTGTTAGGATAATAATACATAAGTAAGAATATGTGTAATATATTATTTATAGTATTTTTAGATATGGTATTTATAATTTAATAGCAAGACTTAGTATAATTTTTTTAAATAAATTTGAAAAAGTCATTGATCTACATATCATATTTTAAATCTAATATAGATTGCTATCAGTAGTATTATTTATATCTACATATAAAAAATAATTTAGAATCAGAAACTATTATAATTTTATATAATAATTTGTTAAAGATATAATTATATTTTACTGTTTGGTAGGATTTTGGAAAGGACATCAAACTGACATTAGAATAGAAAATGTTAAATTACAAATTTAATATTTATCTACATTTGCATTCTATTTCTTTTTACTAATAAATTGAATTATATATAATTAATAGTATATTTTTTATGATTTTAGCTAAATATCTACAAATTTAAACTTTATTAAAATATATAAATTCAGCTAATTTAACAAAAGAAGAATACTTTTTTTTACTTTTAATAAAGCTTTAAAAACGTTTAAAATTAAGTTTATTAATCAGAATATTATAAGAAATATAATAAATAAGAAAAATTTAAAATGTTAAATTAAAGCTGCGCAATTAGAGAAAGAATAAATGAATCTTCTATTTGATAAACTTCTAGGTGATATTATATTATTAACAAGTATATAAGCAGTAAATAGATATCAAAAAATATATGAAATTAACAAGACAATTAATAGAGATATTTAAAATAGATAATAAAATGCAACACACTTTTTTTCAAAATTGTGATCAATTAGCTTTAGAAGGATTTAATAAATTATTTTGTTACTATATAAATAGTATAACACATCTAAATAAGATTTTCTAGTTAGAAATTTTATATTTGAAGTAATTAATACTAAAAGTAAGTATGTAAAACATATTATATCTATGAAAATTACAAATTTAAAATCAAAGGTTTCAAAAATCTAAAAAAAAATATTCATCCTTCTCATGATTCAAATTCTAAAAGTTCAACATAAGTAAGAATATTAATAATTGAATTAAGTAATTCTTTAAAATTAAATCTAATTATAGAATAAGAAATTGCTTTCAAAAAAATTAATTAACATCATTTATCAAAAAAAAAGTGAAAACTTTATTTACATTGTCACCGTAAAATTCTTCAACTTGAGGTGGTCACGTTATCAAGTCTTTACTCAAAATTTCTTAACTATAGCTTACTGCAATTAAGACGTTAAGATCTGCCTAACTTTTAACTTTACCCAGTTTATGTGTTGAACTTAAACAAATCTATCAAGTATGAAGACTTGAAAAATGAGATTATAAACAATTTTAATTAAAGAATTCAGATAACGAACTCAATTATAAATAATGTGTAAGGATCATGTCAGACTATATGAAGACACGAAGAGGCAAAAAGATATAAGTTTTAAATTGATTCCTTTATTAATATTAAAACTCGTATTCGCAAAAGAGTTTACAAATCTGCAAAAGAGTTAATTTATAACATAAGCAAAAAGTTTATCTATTTATACAAAATTTCTTTTGTCACGGTTAACTAATTACTATGCTATAAACTAACTAATTTAGCAAAATAAAATATAAGTAAAATAAATACATTGAGAATAATAAAGATACGTAAAATAATAAAAATATAAAATAAAATAAAAATAATAATAAAATTTAGAATATTAAAAATATATATAATACTAAATATTCTTAGATTTCATTTAATTCATAACATTAAGATTATCATTAGTATTTGGAAAATCTTCAGAATTACGTAGATCCTCCGTATTTTCAGAATTCGTAGAATTCTCAGTATTTTCAGAATTCTGAATTAAAAGATTGTTATATTATATCATCTACGTAACTTTATTATGATTAGTTAATTGCTCTGTTGACAACATATAATACAATATTACCTGATACATCAATTAATTCAATGTTAATAATTTTATTAACTTATTAGAGTGGTTAAACAAAAAAAAAGATTAAGGATATATAGAATTATAAAAAAAAAAGATAGATAAGAGTAGAAAAAAGTAAAACTTAAAAAAATACCCATATATTTTTAAAAAATAAGTATATGAATATATAAAATAGTTTTTTTATTAAAAGAAAATATTAATCTTATAAAATAATAATAAATTAATAGTAAGGTTTGCAATTTAATATATTAAATAATGGAATGTTATATTTTATACTAAAATTACTGAATATATATTTATTAACCTTTGAAAAGTTTTTTTATATTAAATTATATATTTTTACTCTTAAGAAAGTCTATTTATTTCTATTTTTAAAAAGATCTTGAAAAAAGCTTTTTTAATATATATTTTATGTGATATGTATTAAAGAAAAATAATATATTTAATAAGAAAATGACAAATAAAAGTTGATAAAAAATATGATAATCTATCAATATATCTAATTTATATTATACAATATGTTGAAAATTTGATCAAAATCTTGAATCTATTCTTAAAAAAGAGTTGTAAACATCTAAATCTTAGTATTATTTCAGTATTTTATTGATAAATTTTGAATATTAATATTTTAAAATTAACTTAGATTTCATATTTTTTAATTATTAAATAGTATAATTTATGTGATTTATTAGCATTCGTATACAAAATTACAGAAAGACATTCTTTATTTTTTATATTCAGAAATGTGTTTTATAGTTAGTATTTAATCTGATTTTAATCTACAAAAAAATATTATATTATTATATATAAATAATATAAAAAAAATATTAATTTAATCTATTCATTTTTTTATTTTGATATTAAAATCTATAAAGAAATATATATCAATAAAAAAGACTAGTTTTATCATATTATAAATTCATTTAAGAAAATAATTAGAACACTTTTAACATAATAATAGTAAGCTTTAATAATAACATTTTTGTTAGCTAATGCTACTTTTCCTTAAGATTTATTGACAAATTCCATTACGTTTTTCAAATCCTTGAAGCCAACCAGAAGAGAATTGCAGTATATTTCCAGAAATTCATAACCTACTTGCCATTTTCAATTAAAATTGAATCACTTTAAATTGCTCTGTATTAGTAGTTTAATACAAACTCTTTAAGTGCAAGCTCAAGTTCTGAGAAGGTAATGGTTTTTTCCATTTTTGTTCTGGATGAGTAACTTCAGTAGAAAGTCATTTGTCTTTATTTTGCAAAATTTGAATTATTGTACTTTTATTAACTCTAACTTCCTACTTTTGTTCAACCCAATTTGTATAATGAACTCAGGTCTTTTTTATTATTAGTAGCATAATGACAAAGTTCATATTTGAGTGTCAGTTAGAAAAACTCTTTTTTTTTAGAAGGCGTTTAAAAACCGCAGCCACGATGCTTATCACTTCAGCGCGTTACGTAGCATGCATTACGTTATAAAAATAGTCTTCAACAAGTAGTCAGATGTATATACATAATATATAGAAATAGAACTTATATCGAAGTCATGTGAGTGAATATAGATAAAAATTGCACGGTGTAAATAAAAACGTGCATTTCAATTCCCCACTTGGGGCCAAGCTAAGAACTGCATATTTAAAGGGTGTGCATATATAAGTAGTGCATATATAGAGAGTTGACTGTATTATTTATATTATCTATTTTTTAAAAAAAGGAAGTTATTGCTTTGGATTCAGGTATACGGGCGAATTTACCGACTATTTCATGCATATGACAAACTTCAAAGCAAGAAATAAGCGTAAACGTTACAGGTAAGCTTTCACGCTATTAGAATTAAGTAAACTCTAATCATTTAGTCTATGAGTTTAGGAAAATAATTAATTCACTAATTATTGGTAAAGTTATATATTAATTTTATTTAATATATATCATTTATTTATAAATATTAACTACTTTAATAACATATTACGTCGTGTTATGTTACGGATTTATAAGAGAATCCATTAGACGCGCGACCGTCGAGCTATGTGTACATGTTCGATTTCGGCAGCATCTGATCCATAAAACGCACGAGCATCCGTGGTGCCATGTAATAGTTTGTACAGAAGAATACAAGCAAAATTTGTGGAAAGATGTTTTGCTGTCCCCAAAGCAAAATTATGCTCGCAAATATTCTTCGATGCCTTACAAAAAAGGAAAAGGAGTCAGCTTAAAACTGACGTGAGAGCCTATTCCTTTACGGGACTTGTTATACCTAATTTAAACTTTGCTATTTAATGCGAGTAATTTAGGCGTACTGACTATATGGGGTGTGTGTAGGGTTTTGAAATTTTTAAAAATTCATTCATTCCTTAAAACGAGTAACTGAGAGGGGGCAAGTTTTTGCTTTACTTGATTAAGCAGGAAAAGAAAAAAAAGCAAGCAGGGTTTGGAATTTTTTTTCCCAGGATATTTTAAAATTTTATATACTTACCGCTAGAATGGGAAATTTTTTTTTGAACAAAACATGATTTCAAAAAATCCATGCTATTATGTAAGTTACGCTTAAGTTTCTCTGCCCAAACAAAAAATTATTTTCCGAATTTTTACGTAATCAGATATTGAAGTTCCAGTTTAATACCTGAATTTAAATTAAAATCATAAATTTATAAATATCCAATGTTAATCGTTATATATATATATTTTTTTATTTCAAAAAAAAAAAAAAAAAAAAAAAAAATACATATATTAAAAGTCATGGCTGCTTTAATTATTCGTAAAGAAGGCAATAAATTTTTTAAAGAGGGTAGGAATACATATAAATATACTAGCTTGTATTATATATTTACACTTATATCAATCAATATTATTCACGAAAAGCATTATCATTAAAATGAAGGTTTTTGGAAAGAAGCGATTGATAAATACACTAAAGCAATATATATTGATCCAAATGATCATTTATCATATACAAATCGAGCCACAACTTATTCAAAGGTATAATTAAATCATTCTTATCGTACCTTTTTAATTTAAATATGTAAAAAAAATCTATTCTATCTTGTAGATGAAAAATTTTACAGCAGCAATTAAAGATTGTAAAGAATCTATTAGAATTGAACCTGATTATGCTAAAGCTTATTATCGTCTTGCTAATTCTCTAATGGCATTATTTTATAATGGTATATAAAAAAATTTATTAATGAGTTGTAATTTCAACAAATAATATATATTTTTATTTTATCAGATGAAAGCTTGGATGCATATAATACATTCCTTGGACTCGATCCTAATAATATCCTAGCCAAAAATGAGAGGGTTCAAGTTATGAACAACATTTGTAATGAAAAATTTACATCCATGCAAGGGAGCCAAATACATCCTGCATTAAGGATTGTAAACTGGGCTAATTGTGATATTGAATTATCGTCTTGTAAAGCAAGACTTTTGGTAGCAACTCGTGAATTCAATAAAGGATGTGAAATTGCTAGAAATAATGGCAATGGTTTGGTGGAAATAACAAAGGGTATTATGACAGATGAACGGTGCATCATCATTCCTAGTTCGTTAGATTTGGCCATAAACATTGCAATAGAGCAAAGTAGAGCATTCCCGCCAAGTTTATCCGCTCGGGCAACAATTTTAAGATATAAGCAGAGACTGGTTCAAGAAGGATTAGATTCAATTTTGACCGCTCTTGCTACAAATATTCGTGCCGCTTTTTTGACTGGTAATTCCTTTTTTTATTATAATCATCTTGTCATTATTTTATATTATTAGAATTATTGGACTTTATATATTTTGAAATATTAGGGTTTATGGATATGTTTGCACCAGATGCTAAAACTTTAAATCAAGGAATCGAAAATCTTCAACGTGCAGTTGAACTTGCATCATTCGCAAAAGAAATTGCACTAGATAAAATTGATGTCACTGATGTCACTTTTATTCGATCATTAAAAGTGCATCTAATGAGAGCAATTTTGATTAAATATAAAAAAGATGTAGAAATGTTTGATCTCTTTGATATTGTTCTTCAATTGGCAAAAGAAATCATCGATAGTTGCAAAGAAAATCCCGTTTCAGATGAAGATATGATTCATTATTCTGTTTATTATCGTGGACATCTGAAAGAAGCTTATGGATCTATAGGCTCCGCTTATAATGCGAGATCAAATTCTTCAAAAGGGAAGTTAGGTATTCAAGCGCATGATTTAGGATTGCTCTCCGAATCCATAAAAAATTATGAAGAAGCTATAAATTATCTCCCATTAGATGATCCTGACCTTGCTTTATTTCATTATTTAACTGTGTTAGTTATAAATTTCTTATATTAAATTTTTTTTATTTAATGTCAATTTTTATTAATACCTTTTCATTTAGTTCATACAAACTTATGATTGGTGGACATACATTCCATGAAATTAAACAACATGTTCAAAAGGCTCAAAATTGTGAAAAAGAAATATTTCCTATTTTTGGAGATTTTATAGGAGATAATTTTGAAAAATCTATTGCAATTCAAAGTTTAGAACAACTGAGGCGACTAGATAACATTGCGAGTGACAAAGAGTATATCTTGCCACAAGCATTTCATGTTTCATCTAATAGTGAAAAAGATGAAGATGATTATATTCGAGAGTACGAAGCGAGAATAGGAGCAAAAGAGACTGCGAAATTCGATTTATCTGAAGCAGCTGCTAGAGCAAATTCCGAAATTACAAGAAATGCCTTTTCTTGATTTGCATACATAATCGTGTTGATTTTTTCAGTAATTCGGTATCTTACTCTTATATACTGTATATATATAGCTCATATATATTTCCTTACGATTTCCATATATAAATAAAATAAAAGACGGTGCGATCCGCTTTGATTTACCGAACCTTTTTTTTTAAAAAACAAAATAACGTTAAATAGACCATATTATTTTATTAAAATGACACATCAAATATTATTAAATTGCGACACGTTTGTATTTCCCGAATACATGAAAGTGCATTACGACCAAGGAAAAAAGAGTTTAGATAAACAATGAGATAGGAAAGAGCGCAGGAAAGTTGTGATAAAACGATTAAATTTTTATTTTAATATAAAATTTTTTAGTTTAGAAAATATTTTTCTAAAATTTTATACGATTCTTGTCACGCTTCGCTTTAGAAAGGGAATTCGCTAGCGATAAAGATTAAGATTTTCGTTATATAATCTCGTGATATATACTGTACATTCCATATTTATTTGAACAAATTCATATAAATTTATGAGAAGTTTGCTAGGAAAATCAGGTTTAGAGAACTTTTTAACTAAAATTAGATTTTAATCTAATAATTTCAAAAATTAAAATGTAATAAAAATAAAATTTTTTGTTAAAAAAATTACAGAATCTTATTTTCTAGCAATTTTCCTATTTACAGTAGCGGTCATAAGTATCCGACCGCCCGAGATCGTCCAAAATTATTATATAACTACCCCTTAAATTTTCCAGAAATATAATATAACACAATACATG